TCATTGGAGCTATTTCGTTCTTTTCACGTATATACTCGTTTCACATTCTGTCTATAGAACAACGAAGAAAATATTTAGAAATAGTGAGTTTGGATTTAGTTGAACAAAGATCCTGTATGTAATATGTAATTTTAGTAGGTGATGTTAATAATCATTGGTCATTATTAAAATATAAAGTGATACCTATATATGAGTGGTCTAATTATCTTGGATCTATTATTAGAAGAATGAGGATATAACTTATAGAGTTAAGCTTGGATAGAAAAAAAATAGAGAATTGACTCAGGGTTGCTTTATAATAAGATGATATTACGGTGTCTCACATATAAAATTTATGAAAAAATAATTATACTGATAATGTTATATGGATTTAAGTGTTTGGTAATTTTAAAATTATTGATAATTACATTGAGTTTGGTGGAGATGAGATGTTTTGATAAATGTTAGGAAAAATAGAAAATGCATGATAAAATCTAAGAAATAAATAGTGACATCCATGAAAGATATGCTAGTTGAAAGTAGACTTAGGCTGTTTGAACATATATATATATATATATATATATAATTAGTATTAAAGGATTAGGAAGTAAAAAGAGAATGATTAGGTAGTATGGATAATAGTTGTTCAATATGATTTACAAATAGTTAGTTTAATACCACGAGAAACAATCAAATGGAATGAATGGAGGAACATGTTAAATCCCAGCTGTCCCTTGGCCCTTGATCCCACGACTAGCATGGAGATTCATGGGAGGCTTATATGAATCACACTGTTAAATCTCAGCCATCCCTTGGCCCTTGATCCCATGGCAAGCATGGGGATCTGTGGGAGGCTCACCTGGATCACATTGTTCCCCTTCTATATTTGGATGGCTGATTTAGGAAGTTAAGGCAATTATGCATGATTTTATAGTTATTTGTTTCTTTATTAAGACATTGTATAGATTTATAAATATGGATAGTTTTGTATAATAAAATTAAGCATTTTTCCGCTCCAATTTTCTGAAGTTAACATAGTATCAGAGCCTTCATTGTCGTTGCTGGAATTCTTAATTTTTTACTGTTGTGCCTTCATTGCCAAACTTCCCTTCAAAAATGAAAGGGAGCATGTTCCAACTCATTCGTTTCTGCGAACATCAAACTGATCGTAGGAAGAGTGCTTCATCCCACAGTCTTTGTGTTCGATCGAGAGAGACGAATGTCTCGTATGTCTTGTGTAGAGGAGTCGAGCCTGAATCCCATGATCTCTGCGTTTGATCGAGAGAGAGGAATGTCTCGTGCGTTGCTTCTGGAGGAGTTGAGCATGAACATCGAGGTCTTTGCATTTGATTGAGAGAGACGAATGTCTCGTGAACCACTCTTGCTTTCGTGTGATCGAACGAGATGAGAGAGGCGTGCGACCAAAAGTTTCTGCATGCGTATTTTGGAAGAGTTGAATGCTTGGATCAGTGGTCTTGTGTGTGTGCCTGCGTGGGACTGAGAGTTAGAGTCCTTATTGTCATGCCTACGACCTCTCTCGTGCACATTTGGAATTTGTTGGGATACATAAAGTTGAATTATATAAGATTTTGAGGGTTGCACTCGTCTTTGAACAATGTAAGTGTTTGCATCCACTGAGTCTCCACACAATTAAAAGGTGTGCAAATGTTGCCTGATGATTTAGTGCTGGAGGAATTGGTCAGAGACATCGAGAATAAGCTGGCGTCTCCTCCATCCTATTTACAAAAACTTCTGCTACTTCTTGATAAAGCTGAAAATTTATTATTAAGAATAGAGCAATCTCTATCTACTTCAATATTGACAGTTGTTCAGCCTACTCTGAAGGCATTGATTGCCAAGAATCTTCTTGGGCACTCAGACATAGATGTGAAAGTTTCCATTGCATCTTGTCTTAGTGAAATAACAAGAATAACTAGATGCTCCATATGATGATGATGATATAATGAAAGAGATATTTGAGCTAATTTTTGGAGCTTTCAAGAATTTGGATGAAATGTCAAGCCGTTCATTTCCGAACAGTTTCAATACTTGAAGTTATTGCAAAGGTCCGATCCTATGTTCTGATATTTGATCTTGATTGTGATGATTTGATATTGGAAATGTTTTAGCATTTTTTGAAGAAAGCAAGGTCAAAGCATTTGATACTATCTTCTCCTCAATGGAAGCTATCATGACACTTGTTTTGGAGGAGATTGAAAATATTTACGCACAACTTCTTTCATGTATGTTGGATGGTGTAAAAGTTGTTGAAAAAATATTATACATAAAGCTAAGAAGCTATCTGAGAAAGTGCTTGTTAACTGTTCCTTGAAACTAAAGTTTTATTTGGCTAAATTATTTAATGGCAATGGTGCTTTGTCAAGTGATTAAACAAAATTATTGATGTTGTATTTCAGGGTAAACCTGCACTTCGATACAGAATGAAAAGAATGATTTTGGTGAAAATCAGGAAGCTGACCATAAATTATTTGAGCGGTTCTTTTCTGATGACTTGCCTCAGGGATCTGCACAACCGAAAAGTGAAAATTTTCATCCTGAAATTTTGTTGTTGTTGAAGCGAATCTTCCAAATTGGTGACGAATAATGGATCTTTTCATAATGGGAATGGTGATTCCATGGCTGCAAAGAAAAGGATGAATTTCACCATCATAGTGGTAAATTTAGAGTTAATACTAAAAGAGCTTGGATCCATGTACAACAAAGCTTGATAGAAGGTCAGATCTAAGTTCTCATAAAGGAGGAAGAAATGTTTCATCGCAGTTGTAAATAATAATGATCATTATGGAGTTGGTAATAAGAAAAAAGCTCGGAGTAATTCTGAATATAGGTAGAAATGAATCCCAAGGAAAGTTAAAGTGAGATTCTTAGAAAATAAGCAAACAACTGGCACTAAGAGGAGAAAGGAGTTAAGCATGCTGAGGCTGAATATAAAGAATTAAAATTAAAGGAAGTTCTCTTTTCTCAAAAGTCTACAGTGAAAGATTTGGTTAAAGGTGACAACTATGCTAAAGATATTGGTAAAATAAAATTAAGATGAAAGCGTGCTCAGGATGTACAAGAGGCTTCTGGACCACAAAAGCATAGGAAAGGCTTGGATGACACAATTATTGGTTCAAAGATAAAAATTTGGTAGCTAGATGTTGATAAGTGGTTTTATGATGGCATTATTGATTCTTTTGATCAAAATACAAGAATGCTTAAAATTTTATATGATGGTGATGTAGATGTGCTGCTGCTAAAGAAAGAGCAGTGAGAGTTTATTGAAGGTGAAACTGAGATGCATGGGATGCAAAAAAAAAGATGAAATCGATGCTGCTGACATTCTTACCAAGGGACTTGATACCTCTACATTTTTGGGATAGATTACCAAGTTGAGAATGACAGATCTGTATTTCCCAACTTGAGGGGGAGTGTTAAATCTCAGCCGTCCCTTGACCCTTGATCCCACGGTTACATGACCAATATGGCATCTGTGTGAGGCTCACCTGAATCACATTGTTAAATCTCATCCATCCTTTGGCCCTTAATCTCATGGCTAGCATGGGGATCCGTGGGAGGCTCACCTGGATTACGCCGATCTCCTCCTATATTTTGGTGACTGATTTAGGAAGGATTTTATTAAAACAATTATGCATGATTTTATAGTTATTTGTTCTTTAATAAAACATCTTATATAGATCTATAAATATGATTATATAGTTATTTTATTAAGGCATCCGTGGGAGGCTCACTTGAATCACATTGTTAAATCTCATCCATCCCTTGGCCCTTGATCTCACGGCCAGCATGGGGATCCGTGGTAGGCTTACCTGGATCACACTGATCTCCTCCTATATTTTGGTGGCTAATTTAGGAAGGATTTTATTAAGGCAATTATGTATGATTCTATAGTTATTTGTTTCTTTATTAAGAAATCTTATATAGATCTATAAATTGTAATAGTTTTGTATAATAAAATTTAGGGGTGTCAATTCGGGTCAACGGGTCGGGTTCGGGTCGAACCCGGAATTGACCCGACACTATTCGGGTCAACCTGAACCCAACCTGTTTTTAAAAACGGGTCAGGTTTCCGAGCCCGAACCCGACTCGATCGGGTCCGGGTCAACTCGAGCCGACACGAATGACCCGGATTTGACCCAAAATTGTTAGTTTTTGGGTAAAAAATCGGGTCAATCTTGGGTTTTCGATTCAAAACGGGTCAAAAACGGGTTTTTGGGTCAAAAATGAGTTTTCCTATCACTTTCGGGTCAATTTCGGGTTGCTGGGTCAACCCGAACCCGACCCGATTTTTAAAATGGGTTGATTTGTTGAACCCGAACCCCACTCGTTTTGGGTTCGGGTTGTGTTTCAGTTCGTGTCAAAAATTGATACCCCTAATAAAATTAAGCCTTTTCCCTCTCCAATTCTCTTAATTTAACATAACAAATGGAGATGAGGATTCCTAAAGCTAGTTTTGATAGTTGTGATAAGGCTAATGATGATGATGAAATTCTCAGCTCGGCAGGAGCATTTATTATTATTATTATTATTTTTTGTACCATTTTATACGGGTGAAACATATTGAGTAACACTACAAGCCTTTGCATGTAATAACACAATCCATATTTTTATATTGCACAAAGTACATCCTGGACGAGTAAATCTGCTTGCCCTTTCCTGTGCCGTGCACTAATAAAATAATAGGTGAAATACTGATGCATTATTTCATTTTTCTGATATGATGAATGTTTTCCATATGCTGGAACTTATAGTATTTGTCATTCCTTATTCTACTATGTTCTGATTTTCATTTCTGTTTATATTAATTTCTCTTTGAGGGTTTCATTGTATAAACCTGGTAACTATCTTCATCAAGAATTATCAGGACTTTTGTATTCTTATTTATTCTTGTATTATCATTAATTTATTATATGTCGTTGTATCATTATGGCATTTCTTTCTAACGTAGTTGTAGAAGAAATATCACTGATTTCCTTTGTTTTTTTTTGAGTGACAGGGGAATGATAAATATTGGGTTAAAGCGATTTCCAAAAGCTTTGGAGTGTCTTCATAATGTGTGTAACTAGCATACAGTTTGGATGCTAATTCTGCCTTCAAATGTTTTTTGATAGTAAATTGCAATTGACAGGTTGTTACTGCACCAATGTCAACAATTAATGCGATAGCTATAGAAGCATACAAAAAATATATTCTTGTTGCGCTTATTCATCTTGGGCAGGTATGTAGCTTTCTTCAATTTTTTGTTCATGCATGCCATAATATTTCATGTGCCACTTGTGATTTGTATTCTTTTGGGACCTTTTCTTCAGGTTTCTGTTAAGTGTTTTTTAAATCCTTCTTTATAAGCAAAAAACCGTATTTAATGACTTTTTGTGTAATAATTGATAGGTTTCCGAGTCACATTTATTTTTCTTCCGTTTTTCTTCAATTTGTGTTAGGATGTAAATTGACTTAGTGTTTGGAATAGTTTCTTCATTGCATTGCTTTTCAATCAGCTACTGTACGTCTATTTGGCTATTGCGTTCTTGTTGTTTTTTTGGAAATTTTTGTAGCGAGAAACTACTTTTTACATCTTGATTTGCTAGAATATGGTTGCTGTAAGAATGCAGTTATCTGATTATTTTCAAAATAAATATATTTTTAATACTTAACAACAACTTTAGAAAAAGTTGCTTTCTTGAAACAACTCTATAACTATTTTTACAAATAGCTATGATCACCCCAAGTAGACACTTGTAAGCAAGTTTGCTAGAACTTGAGTTTTCAATCCAAGTAGGATAAATAAGGAAGGCCTTACTTTCTCTAGCCTGCAGTCCAACAAATTGATATGAAGTTTTAATGGTGAAATTTTCTTTATTCTTTCCATAGGAGTAGATAATCCCAAATCAAATAATGGATTATGAATTAATAGTTCTCAGATTCATGTGGGCACTAAAAATTCACAATTGTCTTAGGATTATATTTTTAGAAGGCAAACAAGATTGCAAAAGACTACCTAGAGATGTTGCCCCTATTTTATAAGCATTTTGATACCTGATTTTAGATTTTTTATGAGTGTAATCCCTCATGATTAATTGCCCTTCCTAGTGACGAGAGAGAATTTTCGATTAAAGCTTATTGGTAGACACTAAGTGTTTAGTGTGAAGTAGCAATTTGATTTTAGATTGAGGAAATACACCGCCCATAGTTTAAAATGAATTGTCATGATCCATTATTTACTTAGTCAATGGAGGTGATCAGCTCAAGCTGACCAAATGACCCTTGTCTATAAGCATTGATTGCGTTGTCCAGGGGGCCTTAAAGATTTTGGATAGATGTTTTTTATGAGTACAATTTTAAATTGATTTTTGTCAGGCTGACAAAGGGCTTTGTGCCCAATTGCACCTTATATTCAGAACTCCGGGGGTTGGAGCTAATGGGGAGCACGTGGATTCTGGCTGTGATTGTAATTCAATAATATTATTTTGCGGAGCAATTAAAAATCACCCATTTAGAGGGTTTTGATTATAAACATTATTTAGTGGTGTCATTTATTAGTGAAATCATCTGTTAGATGACACATGTCATGTCATTATTATGAAATCTTTTGAGAGAGAACATAACGATATGCTTGATAGGACATTGGTTCGTTGTGAGTTGAGAATAATCTTATATTTCCCTTGACAAATTATTATAGTGGGGTATATATATCATGGTTTAAAATTGTGTAAATATGCCTCGAGACATTTTTTTGTCTGTGAGATGAGATGTAAGCCTCACGGACGAAGAATTACGTAAATGTGAATTTAAATATTCTAGCAGGTAAATAACAGTAAGAGTCTATGAACATCTAAATTTTAAATGAACTTATTGGAAAAAAATAAAATAGATGAAATATATGCATCTCATAGCATAATTCAAAGTACAAAACTACAAATTAAAATCTATCAGAACTCCCAAAGTATAAATAAGAAAGAACATCTAAAATTCAATCATGCCCCCTCACTAAATGGGTCTTCAAGGGAGGCATTTTCATCTCCAATTGCATCTATGATGCCAAATTTTCATCATCTTTAATTTTAACCACTTTTCTCTCCCATGTTCAATAAGATTGATTAGCGTGTTATTAATTACATATATTTTAAATGTAATAACATGTATGAAATTATGAGATACATTTGTTTGCTTGTTGTGCTGCAGTATTAGTGGATGTGTTTGGTGTGGTACTAGTGGATGTGCCCGTTTGATCTGTTTTGCCCCTCAAGACATCCACACTTAGATCCTCTAGCTGCAGGTCTGATAATGACAATTCTGTCTCATCATCTATGAACCACTCATTATCAGACGCCACATCATCACACACACCAAATGGTCCTCATCATCCTTCAACCCCTTGTTCCTCAACCTCTTATCTCTCAACCTCTTGTTGTGCATAATATACACAAGGGAGTTCATTCTAAGTTTTCAAAGTTGATTTATTCTCTTCGTTTGCACTTGACTATATGTGCTCCAGTTTCACTTACACCCAGAGGAAGAACAAGTGTGGCCTAAAACTCTAACTGCAAAACTCCATAATTCAGGGGTGGAATCAACAAATTGGATCCACCATTCAACTATTTTCAAGAAGACAAATGATAATCAGAATATATTAAACTGTTATGCATGTACGGTTACTTTGCAAAAATAAGCTTACCTAGAGAGCATTTGGCAATAGTAGATCTTGCTGCTTACAGACCAAAAAATCCCTTCCTATTCCGAAATAGAACAAGTTCTAAATCTACAAGCTCCCTGACAGATTGGTTCAGTATCAGCTGCTCCATGCAATGGTACAAGCTCGACCTCACTTCTGGATTTGAGGATTTTCTCTCTGAATTCTGAAATTGATTGAGTTAATACGCCGCTGCATGTAGATGACGGTGTAACTGGACCTCCCACCGAGCATCGATGATATCCTAAGTCTCTATATAACTGGCATCCTCTCCTCCCAAGTTATGTGTAATCAACTCCATTGCATTATATATAAAAAGTATAAAACCCATTACTAGTTTCTTCTCGGCATCTGCTAATCGTAGCACTTGTACTAAGCGTCTTGTGCTCAATTTGACATAGGTCACACTTGTCCAAAATTTATCATTCAGAATCAATCTTTATATTTCCTTCCCCTCAGGTTTCTTGCCCCACACACAATTAAGCTATTATGTCGATGTAAACATGACTTCAAGAGGTTGCCTAACATCTAGCATGCTCAGCAGTGTCAAATAAGATGTGGCAAACATGTTGGATAAACCGTTAAACTTGCATTAGAAATTGAAAATGCTTATCGAAAATGCTCTGCAGTGCACCAATGTAATGACTTACCTAGTGAGGCAGCGCCGGCGGGAAGGCTGGCCGAGGGAAGCTAGGGAGGGATTGTGCGGGAACGTGCAGAGCTCTCCTTCGTGTAGTTCGGGTCGACGGATGGAAGGGTGGAATGAAAGGGTTTTTTTTCTTAGGCACTTAAGTGAGTGGGACCCTCATTGTTGGAGGCGTACGCCTCACCCATTATGCAATTGCGCCTCTGAGGTGCACCTCAGGCTCCATGAGGCGTACGCCTTTCCTGGTGCTAGAATTGCTTAAGCAATGAGGCGCCTAGGGGTGAAATTGCGCAGATGCGCGTCTCTAATTGCGCAATTTTAAACTATGATATATATATATATATATATTGTCGTTGTTGGGTCTTAAGCCTTAGATAAAAAAATGAAGAATTTTGTTTGTTAGTCAACAACCAGCTTAAAATTTGTCGAACAATCTTAACATGAATCATTTAATATATTATGTTCAAGCTAGTACGTTCCCTAAAAGTGATGCGCTGTATGATTCAAATACAGTGAAAAGTGTGCAAAAGCTGCTGCATCGGCACTGGGTACAATATTAATATATTTGATGCTAAGATTCTCTTCCGTTGAAATTTTCTATTATTGTGGTCATTATCGGTGTTTAAATGCTTTTATTTTATTATTTTTGATCTTGTCAACTCTGCCAACTTGCTTGTAGAGGATCTGGTATATGCTTAACACTTATGGTTGCATTTCATAGATGTGGCATCATGAGTTTGCATTTTGAAAATAAATTTATTTTGTTAAGGGCATTGGAGGCCTTATGCAAACATAAATTAGGAGATTTTATCATTTTAGTTTTGTTGTGTCGAAATTTTTAACTTGTACACATAACAATTTAAAAAAAAATCTATTTTCTCTGCAATAGCTTCTGTAGTTGACTTTATAAAAACCTATAGTCACGAATGATCCTAAGTGAATCAATTTTCAATCTCATTGTCAAGGGAAAATTTTCTTATGGCGAGGAGTTATAATTCAAAAAAGAGGAAGATATTTGAACCAAATACAACTATTGAAAGAGCATATAATTTATATGTTAGATATCAATTGTATGAAATATTGCCTACATTTTATATTCATCCGCCCTTCCATTTCATTTGGTAAGGAATTCATATTATTTTTATGCTTTTTCTTTTGTAGATAATAAAACTCTCACAAGATATGTCCCCCGGGTTTAAATTTTTTGAAAACAATACTACTTAAAAAAGGAAAAACCTAACATTAAAAGAATGCTTGAGCCAATCAAAGAAGCTTGGAATGAAAAAGAGAGTTACCAATGTTTGTGATGGCTTTACTATTGCACGAATATCTCTTATCAAATGTATGAGAATTACAAAATTTGAGCCTGTGTTTGTAAAGGCCATTAGTTGTGAAGGAGCATATAACAATAAATTGTACATTACAAGTCATATCAAAGAAGTGATTATCAGAGTTGGTTCTAATAAAATGGTTCATGTAATCACCGACAGTGCATCAATCAATATATAGCTCAACATGAACAATAATCGAGACTCAATATATTCTTAGTTTTTTGAACTACTTGTATTATTGACAACATTAAATCTTACACTAAAAAATATTTGTGCTCCTAAGAATGTTAGAGGGTAATGAGAGCACTTATGAAGAATGTAACTGGATCAGGAACATTGCAAGAGAAGTTAAATTCATAAAGAACTTTATCATAAATTATTTAACGTGGCTTTCAACTTTCAATAAATTTGTGAAGTTAAAACTATTAACTATAACAACAACTTGTTTTACATCAATAATCATTATCTCGGGTGATTCAAAATTATAAAATAAGGATTACAAATCATAATAATTAGTGACAAGTGGAGCATGTATCCAGAAGATGATGTTGATTAGGCTAAGTTTGTGAGGGAGAATAAATTGGATGATTTTTAGTGAGAAAAAATGGATTATTTTATGGAGCCAATGTATGAGATGTTAAGAGTAGCAACTACAAACTAGCCTTGTCTCCACCTTATATATGATATGTGTTAGTGATGGGGACATCAGTTGGAAAGTCTACCGTCGACGTGGCCGTAGATCTACGGCCACAATTTATCCGATTTACTTTTGATTTTTAGTATTGTCATTTTCTTATTTCGATGTACTTTTGATTTTAGTATTGTCATTTTCTTATTGATGTATTTTATTTCAGCATTTTTCCCTTTTTACCCTTACTTGAGGGATTCAGTCATGTAGCCCTTTGAGGGTATTTGAGTCCTTTTGCTTTATGTCATTGTAATAGGCTATTTAAAGCCTTCTTCTTGTACTTTTGAAGCTAATGAATGATATTGAAAAAAAAAAATTTCTGCATTTTGTCTTCTTGAAGCTTTTGTGTGGAGCTTGAGAGTTAAGAGTTTGGTGGAGCCTAGGAGAGGCCACCGTCGTACTCAACAGTCACAACCGATGGCTCTTGGTTTATCCCCCTTCCTTGTTTCCCCTCTACTCAACGTCCACCGCCGGTCATTCCCCACCACCAATCACCACCTCCTAACCTCACCACCCAAGCTCAATCTCCCCAAAACCCGCCCCCTCCCATTCATCCCGCTGGCCACCTCCTTAACTGCTGGCCTCGTCTTCATCCACTACTCCACTACCGTCAATTGCCGGCTCCCTTGCCGCCACCTCATGTATTTTTAAATTTTGAAATTTGAAAATTTTGATGAGTGAAAGTTTCCAAATTTGTCTGGTGCCAAATTAGGAAAGTTTCAATGAGGTTTCAATTTCGAATTTGAATTGAAACGGATTTGAAATTTTTCTTCATTAATTTGTTGGAGCAAATTAGGAAACCCATTACACTCTCACAAACCCCCCTTCCCCCTTACTATGCCGCCGGCCCCCTTGGTGGCTTCCCCTCCTTTAATGCTTCATTAATGCTCCTAATTATATGTCGTTGAACTTCAAATTTCCGAATTTTTCTCTCCATTTCTACTTAAAATCTGAGAATAATTTTGGTATGGAGATTATAACAAATTTTCTTCATCCCATTTAGTTCTCTCAAAACCCTAGCTTCTTCCTCTGCCCCACTGCCATCTCTCTCCCTCTCCCACTCTTGGTCTTTCTCTCTTTACATGATAATGATGCATGGCCGATCCGGCGTTTGATTCCTACTTCGCATCCGACGACCAAGGCATCGTGGATCGCCTCAAATTTCCTTCGTCGGCGTGATTCAAATCATTGATGGATCTCTAGAAATTCCGTCATCCCGTAGTCGTCGTTGAAGGAGTAGCTATTGGAAGGTACGTGGTGAATTATGACGTTTATCCGAGAAGGTGATTTTCCTCCTTGACTCATTTACTTTCAAATTCTACTTTCTTGGTGAGAAATTGTTCAAGCAAGAGATTGTGTCTACTTATCGCCATCCACTAGTATTCGTAGGAATTGTTACTTCTTTGCTTTTGGATCTCTTTGTTAAACAAAGGTTAAGTTGGAAACTACCCCACATGCAATGCTTTATTTTTCCCACGTGTTTTGTTTTCGTTTAGCATCTTGCGTAGTTTAGCCTAAATGGAATTGACCGTTTATTAGTTTTACTTTGTTGTTTTAATCATGAATAACGAAAATCTGTAATTGTTCTCAAAATATTTTGTGCAAGTTTCCGATTTTTGCATGTAGTCCTACATCAGTTAGTTTGTGGTTTAAAATATGAAAGGGATATTATATCAACATGAATGAAAGAGAGAAAATGAGTCACCCATTTATAAGGTGGTGTATGACAATTTTTTGCAAAAGTTGAATGAAAGCAACACTTCTCTTTATTGCTTTATCCATTTTCTTAATTCAAACCAGTGTTTAATGATTTAGGCCATCTCATAGCTATTAATCTTATCAGTTGCATTCTTTATTTAGTATTATTGTCATCTTGGCTTAGTGAAACTCTAAATCATGTTTCTCCACATAAAGGAAGGGATGTATCAAATGAGAGTAACAAATATTTGAAGATTTTTTTTTTCCAAATATTAAAAGATAGAGCAATATTGAATTTGGAGTTTGTTTACTTTTTTTTTTTACTTTGTGATGCTTTTACTTCTTGCACCATCAATATGCTCATATATTAATATTTGGTTTGATTATTTCGAAGAGCACATTAATGTTACTCATTTTTAGGTTTTTTGACATTTTGTAGACAACATTATGTCGGTAAAATATATGACAGTGAGTACTGAATGTTAATATTAGTGTGTTATTGATAAATAACAATTATTGCAAGTGATAGATTTTGAAATTTAATCATAATTAACAATGTTTATTCTTTTTTACTATAGGTACGCTTCATATGTGAAGTATATGATATTATACTTCATTCTTTAATACTTTTAATAGAAGATACTAGTATCAGGTATTTTAAGTGCACATTTAATATTAATAATTTATAAAAAAGAACATATGTTCATGGTGTGTTGTGTCCGTATGCATACATCATAGAGTAACTGGAACATGATAGAATAAAGAAACATTATCTCACTTTGTGGCCTCTCTAATATGCTAGGAAAATGTAATTTTCACGTGTCCTTGACTTAACTGTCATTACTTTTTCTTTGAACATAGGAAGATAAAATTGTATGTGTTCGCAGATGCTCCATTGTGTCTTCAAACATGCAGGAGAAAATTTGTTGATTTCTTATTGTTTCACCTTTCTATTTAGACAAGTGTGCTGGAAATTGTCTGGGCATAGTTAATTGCTTAGATTTGGCTTTACTAATAAAAGGACTTGAAGCATTTGTGTACTGTTTATTAACTAGTTTTCTTTGACAGATTCCTTCCCTTCCAAAATATACCGCATCAACTGTGCTAAGGAGTCTGAAAAGCTATGCTCAGGTTTCCTAAAAACTCTCTCTGTTTTTTGTGTTGAAGGTTTATCATCCTTTTTGATTAAATTATGTTATGCTTCCATTCTTTTTCTTGATAATATGAATGTAGCTCACATTCTTGGCCTTCCCTTTTACTTGGCTTTGTAGTTTCCATGCTTTCAAAATACGAGCAATTTAGTCCATTTTTGTTTTCTTCTTGGAGTTGGTTGTTCATGATTTACTGCCAGGCCTTTGATTATGTCATTTGATTATGTTATCAATTAAGATTTGAGGAAAAACTTGTAGGACGATATGCACTTGTACGAAGGAAAAAATTTGCATATTGTTCCTTCTTGTATGCTCAATGCTGCAATGATTACTTGAATTTGCTGATGGTGTTAGCAGAAAATAATGGTGCTGGATTGATGAGGAGGTTGAATCATAGGGGCAGCAGACAAGCGATGTAGTAAATGGCATCAGTGTGATGTAAGAGGGCATTATTGGATGCAGTTACGGTGGAAGAAGTGATGATGGTGAAAGTGGAGTGATGTGATGCATGAGTTGAGTTACACAAGATTAATAAGAAAATTTAAACAATAGATTAACCACTTATATAATCATGCTTCAAATTAAAATCGATTTCACGAATCCGTAGTGTTCCACTTGCTTAGGCAAAGGAATTACAATGAGATTAGCCAAACAATTTAAGCAAATACCAAGGAGAACGTAAAGTTAAAAGCTAGTGATTTGAATCCAACAATTAATAAGGAGTTGTTCACGTTGAGGCATCTTCTCTCTATTCCTACGAACTAGGTTGAGCGGCGGAAGATCGTCCACTCTAGAAACAAGGTTGCCACGAGGAGGGAGGAGCCAAAGAACGTCGCCAAGGAGAAGGAACTCGGAGGTGGAGGGGCACGAGAGGACGACCTTTAATGATCCACGTGTAGTCGGAGAATTGGTCGTCATAGGCGTCCACTAATGTTGGTAAAATCCGATCCAAGTATTCTTCGACGGTATTGTCGAAACAAAATCCAACGTCAAAGAAAGGAGATCTTAAGATGTGGATATCTCCGTAGATGTCGTAGAAGAGTCCATGATCAAAGCCGGGATCCGCCATACATCCTTGTTGGGAGATGACGGAGTAAAGCAAAGGAAGGCGGGGAGTAGAGGTGGCGGCGTGGAGGGGGAAATGTTTGAGCCATGGGATTCAGGGAGATATGGGATTTCGGCTGGGAGGGAGAGAGGGGAGAAGAGGTGGTTGTTTTGTGTGAGAAGAAAATCTAAATTCTAAATTCAGGTTTTGATTAGGGAAGAAAAGAAACGGACATTAATTTCAAGTTCAGATTTTTGAAATTGAAATTTGGCTTAGCGGGAGAAAGGAATAAATGACATATTAAGAGGTGATTAGTGGCAATTAGGGATATAATTAAGGGACAAGGATGGCCGACCATATAGCAAGGAGAGAGATTTTGGAATTTGGAAGGTGGGGCCCACGTTTGAATAAATAATTCCTCCAATCAAATTTGAAATTGTAATTTCAAATTTGATTATATTTTAAGTAACTCCCAAAATTGAGTTATTAAGAAGAAATAGAATTTGAATTTTAAAATGAGCATTTATCCCCTTAAATGTCTTTCTTAATTGGATGAAGCCCAATTAGGAAATTAACTTAATTAGGGGTAATTGGAAATTCAAACACGCTTGGGTCCAAGGGGGAGATCCGGCGGCAAGGTGGATGCTGGGCGGTGGGCTAGGGGTCACGGGTGGCTGCTGGAAGGGGGAAGTGGGGGTCGGCAGATGGGCTATCAGCGGGTGGGATCAATTGGCCGGCGGCCAATTCTCTGGCCGGGCCAACAGGGTCGGCAGCAAGGAGGAATTGGGGATGGGGTTCTAGAGCTTGGAAGCAGGGTAATTTTTTTTGGAGAAAACTCAAAAATTCTAAACTCACGCACCTCTCTTCAAGCTCTCAATGGGAAATAATAAGAATACCGGAACTCACACAGAGAACTAGGGAAATGGAGAACTCACAAAGAGATCAATGGTAGAAAATTTCATTCAATAATTCAATAGTCTCATACAAGATACATGAACCCTATAAATAGGCTCTAAATGACAACAAGTACAAAAGTCTAATATGCCCCTTGGGCTACAAGAGAAAACAAATACCCACAAGGGTAAAATGGGAAAAAACTGAAAATAAATAAGTAATAAAAATGCAGATACAAATAGTCCTCAATGGTACAGGCTCTCCATCATGGCCGTCGATCTCTGGTGTCGTCTCTGATAGACGCGCCGGAATCTCCTGTCGATGCCCCCATCATGGAGGGTTTCTTTTTTTGGTCATGCTAACATAGTTATGAGAGTAGATATTGGAAGCCATGATTTTTGTAGTAGAGTACTTTCTATTGATGAAAATTACCTTAGTGAAACCTTATTGAATGCATAGTTTGAATTTATTGATTTGATAAATGGCTCACATATTTGTTGGGCTGGAATGTTAATTTTAAAGTAAATGCAGGGATCAAATTGCAGATCTTTGAAATATAATTGAGCAAATAGCAGAATGATGGGTCCAAAATGTACATGTTTACTTCTCATGTATCGTCCTCAATTTCTCTGATTAATATTGACAAGAATCTTTTTGCACATTTCCTATCGATGTTAGCTTTGGTTCACCACTTTTTCTTTGTAATGTCCTTGATTTTATTTACCTGTTTGGTTGATATTTTTTCTTCTCTTTTTTGACATGCTTGAACCATCTATATTATTTTCAACATCTTTTACTGTTTGGGCCCCTCTTATATAATCCTTTGTCAATTAATGTTTTTTAGTTTTGCCACAAATCCATCTTGATTAACCTTTTTTTTTTACTACACTCAGCTTGGCTCTTTGCATATAATATATCTGGTATATAAGCACAATTTCGCAAAACTTTCAATTAGGCCCTTTTTATGTCTTTCTCTATCTCATAATTCTCTCAAGGCATTTGTTCAATTTAACCACTTACCTTTTAAATTGGAAGTTATATCCTTATCTATTTTTTATTCTTCTGCATAATGAATACAAGATTGGTTCATATCAAGCCTTAGTAATACTTAATCATTAATAATATTAATTGATAATTCTTAAAATGTCACTTAATAAAATTACATATCATATGTTCAAACTTTGTTCCATAAATCCTTGGTCTCCTATCTTTTGAATATTTTTCTAATTTTTATCTTCTTATTACTTTTGGTAGAGCTTTCACTACTATAATTATGTTATATGCAATGAACTTGTGCAGTAGTCCTCATTTGGAATATTCTTTTTTAGCATTTTCATTATTAAAAAAAAGGTACAAACTTGATGTTGATTCTTAGTGTGGTCATATTGTGATTTAGAACTCATTGACAGCTAGTTCTAATGATAATCAATGCTCCATTATAAATAAATAAATAATATATATATATATATATATATTTTTCAAATTAAAATTAGTTTTCAATTTATGATGGATTTAGTGACTGTGTGATGTAAATCAGTCCATTCACTTTTAATTGTGGGGATCAGAGCTCAATTTATTTCTCGTTTCTGTCAAGTTTGTTAGAATTCTAATAAATGTATGATTAACTCTGGTTAATCATACCTTTACTTCATGACACTCATCTTCTTAGAGATCCCAAAATCCTAAAAATCAGGCCTATACATTTTCAGAATTTTATCTATTTCCTTGTTGTTCCACTATGCCTCCATCAAAGTCATAGATCACACCGACTTTTAAACTTGGGGACGGTTAATCCACAATTAAATTAAGTATGGAAGAGCACAAAATCATCTTTTGTCACAATTTATAACGTAGACCTAAATTACATTACACATGTCACTACATCACATCATAAATTCATAATGAAATTTTTTAGCAATTAAATTCTATTGAAATACAAACAAATATAAACTTCATTGATAATAAATTGGAAGTTTCTGAAATCAAGTAAGAAAGAACTAAGGATTGCATTGTAAGGAGTGCAAGTTCTTCTCCACTCAAGAGCACCACTCTTCCCCTTTCACACACTCTCTCTTTCCCTCTCCAGATTGGTGAATGAACAAAATAAATTTACACCAAATAGCTCCCCCAAGCTTGTACAAGAAACTAAAGAAAAAAAAAAACAACAACAAAATAGGACTCTCTCTCACTATTCTACTTCCTCTATTGCTGCATTAAGACCATTTTAGGGTATATGCTAAAAAAAGGGGTATGCATGCTGGAGTTGTTGGAAAATGGATTGGATATGGACTGGCATTGAAATTATAGTTCTTGAACATCTAAATCAATGCTAAGTTAAAATCACCAGCATATTGGAACTGTCTTTATTGTTGGTCCATCATGTGCTCCATCCTATGATAAAGTTCCTGTTCCATTCCCTCTATCCTCTGATGCATCCCCTACACTTGATTCTTGAGATAGACAATTGATCTCCTAAATTCTAGGGGGCTCTAATCCTAGGCTGACTTGGCTGGCTAAAACTCTCACCAGGCTCCCTATTAGGAATCTTAAAAGTTTGTATCTTATTTTTTGTAAGAGGAGCACTAAGGAAAAACTGCTCCTCCCTAGGATCTCCTAAGACTCTTGCTTGGGCACACAAGAATAAACAAAAGAGGAATGCCAAAATCCTGTAGAAGTTGCCCCTTTAATCATGTTCCAAAGGGACTAATAAATTATTTTACCTACATCTATACTCATACCTTTTTTAGTAGCAAAATTTAGGAATGCTCTATCTTTAGTCACCTCACTAATATTATTATTGGACATCAACCTGGCAGAAATGAAATAATGCCAGACTTTTGCTTCTAAAATCATAGCAGATGCATGAAAGTTCATTATTCTATCCTTCTTAATCTCTATTGGGCATTGGTATTTGGTTCAATAAAAACTTAGGATCTCATTAGAATCTAGAGGAAAAACAGAGTCATCAAACTCAATATCTGTGTTCTCATATAATTTATTAATTGAAACACTATCTACTGGAACCCACTTCCCCCTATCATGCACTTAATTATTTTGTGGCTCCTTTATACATCAGCAAAGAATTTTCTAACATTAGGAACTATACAAACAAAGGGATCTTAAAATTTTTCCCAACCCCTATTCACAAAGGTAAGCTCTATATGAGCCACTGAACTCCTCAATTCTCTCTCAGTGATTATTTGTTTGTGAACTATTGAATGATTATATCTATCTTCCGCTTTTGCGCTCATAAACTTGTGGGAATTGTAAGAGTTGGTGCCCCTCTTCTTCTTAGATGTGATATTAGGTGCTATCTCTTATTACAAGAAGAAACTAAAAAGCTCAGAAATTTAAAGGAAATTTGAATGCAATGAATTGAACAGACCTCAGCCCCTAATTATAATTTGGCCAAACGCTGCGGCATTGAGTGCTCGAGTGCTGCAATGCTCAGCAGTCAAATGATAATTTAATGCATTGTCAAAAGTCACTATAGCGCTGTGGCATTTGGTATAGATAGCGTCGTGGTGCTTCACGTTGTGACATGAATTGACAGGCTTTTTAACTAGTCAATGCCACGGAGTTTATCGTGTGCCAGTGTTACCGCATTGAAAAAGATCAACAACCTTTGCGCAATGACTTCAAAAGCTCAATATAAATAACTTATTGCCATTGTCCTCTTTCAAAAAGAGAGAAAAAGCATTTTCCTAAAGGCAACTTGTGGTGCAATGACATCTTATACTTCAATAACCATAATTGATTTGGAGCTATGATGCACCGACACTTCTCCTCAAAGAGGCATGCAGTGTCCGACACCGTGTCCAACACGACACTCGTTCGACACTCCTCTGACACGTGTCGGACATGCCGAAAACGTGTCCAATTAAAAAATATTAAAAACAAATTGGACACGCGTGTCCAACACGCGTATGTTAAATATTTTGTAATTTTTTTAAAATATAATTTCTTATTTTGGCAATATTTAAACTAAATTTCTTATTTTCTATCCACAACACCAAATCAATGTTTGCATTTAATACCCTTCATCGAATATTCTCATTTTTATTTCTCTTTGGCAGTGAAGGTATTTTCATCTCCTCTCTTTTTGCATAATTACAAATATTTTTCTTGCTGAACCAGAGTTGAAAGCAGTAATATTCAATGATGATGATATTAAATGTCAAAAACAAATCTCTAAAGCTAATTCTAGTAGTTGAAGCTTGAATGCTTGATGTTGTAGTAAGTGATTATTTGTTTATATTTTTGTGGTTGTACTAGACATTTTGTACTAAATATTTTATATTATAAGCTAGAAAAGTTATCATGTCATTCATTTATTATTGTTTGTCATTTTTAATATGATATTACATGAATATATATACACTATATATAAAAAAATGTATTGTCATGTCCACGCCGTACCTGTGTCCTATATTTTCAAAAAAAGCCGTGTCCCGTGTCCGTGCCGCCGTGTCCGTGTCTGTGCATTATAGATTTGGAGTTGTTGTAGTTAAAATTCTGTAGAACAATTCTGTCCTACTTGTATTTCATTTTTGCTGTTTTATTTATGTAACTAATTTTTAGTCAACAAGAAATTATCAAAACTCCAAAATAATTTAAAAAAAAAGGTAATATTTGTAATTTGGACATAGTGATATTTCTTTAATGAATTCTTTTTTTCCATAGACAATTTTTGTGGATAGATTTTATTTTTGATGCAATTCTATAACTACTACAAGAATGTTAATTAGTTGCCTTCACATTTTGATCTATCCATCAACCTTAAACTTACCCAACCCTAATTGACTTGAGAGCAACCAAATCAGTGGAGTGATTTACAAAATCATTTAAAACCTCATTTTGATTCCTTTTAACATTAGAAAATCCACTTTGAATAATTTAGTATTTTATTCTAATTCTAGTTTAGTTATTTTGTGGTAGTTTATTTTTCATTGTGATTTGCAAATTTGTGAAGACTTAGAAGTAATTTTTTTTAAATCATTTGCATGCATTTTATTTAAATAAGAAAGTATTTCATATAGAAAAAAATGCCAAATACTAATAGGAGGATACATGCTTTGGCTCTTAAAATTGATGAAAAGCATAACAAACTTCAAGAGCTCATTTTGAACTTAACAACTTAAGTTCAAAATTTGAGTGTTAGGGTTCAAACACATGCTCTAGCTCAAAATCTCTATTGAAATTGAAGCCATAGGAGATGACTGCTTGAAAATCATAGAGAGCACATTCAATCTAAAAAAAGTATTAAAAAAAAAAATCTAAAAAAAGTATCTTTTAGGAATTTCTAAAGAAATGATCAACCTAAGAATTATAAAGCCTTAATTAAACCCCAAAAGATGGTTAAGATAAATGCTCCTACATATGATGGACTTCATGCCCCCAATATATTCTTAGATTGTCTTACACAATTTTTTGATTGGTGCCAAATGAATGACCATAAAAAAACCGCCATTGCTAAAATGAAACTTGTTGGCCTTGCAAAAATTAATTGGACCAAAGTTTTGATATAGGAAGAAAAGTTAGGAAAACAACATCTTATTTAGGTAAAGATGAAAGAAATACTAAGGGCTAAGTATTGTCCTAGCATGTTAAGAAAATACATGAACAGTTGATGATCAGTAGGGAAGATAATTTGCAAGTGGTAGAATATATAAATATATTTGTTGAAAATAGCTAACAAACTTACTATTTGTCTTGGGTGTGAGATTATATACGAGAGAGACATGACTCTCAAATCCGAAAAGATACTTTTCATTATAATTTACTCCCAGAGAAGCATAAGAGGGCAACTTCTTCATCTAGAGCTAGAGGTCCAAACTCATCTCTTGAATAAATTCATATTTTTCCCATAGGTCTACGATTAGACCGACAACCTTTTTTTGGTGCTTAGCCAAGTCGAAGTACACCTAAGTCATCCTCTAAGATTAAGGATATTATATATTTCAAATATCACGAGAAAGGTCATATAGAACATTAGTGTAAGGCCAAGATCATGTCTTCGATGAAGCTGAGCAAGAATTTGAAGAAGATAGAATGGACGATGAGGCAGAGGAAAGTCATGATGATGCTCCTTTTTCTACTGAGAAAGTTGAGCATGTGAGAGATCCTTTAGATGTGATGAGATGTTTATTTGCATCTAGGGGATAGGAAGACTGGAGTAGGAAAAACATTTTCTTCATATATGTCATATTACAAAAAAGTTCAAAATAGTTTTAGATGGAGGTAGTGTGATCAATGTCATATCCACCCATGCCATCACTAGAGTAGGCCTTGAGACTAAACCCCACCAAAGCCTTTCCATGTGAGCTGGGTGAACCAAACATCACCTATCACAATTAGATGTTTAATGCCCTATAAAAATGAAACTTATGTTGATCATATATGGTATGATGTACTCCCTATGGAGATCACTCATATCTTATTAGGAAGGCCTCGACTTTATTACCTAAATTTCATTCATTATAGTACAGAGAATACTTGTGTTCAAATTCAATGATAAGATCATAAAGCTATTTCCAATAAAACCTATAGAAAGAGGCAAACCACACTTCTCCATAGATTTCTAACTGCAATTTTATAATTTAAATTGTATGTAATTTAAAGGTATAAATTATATCTAAATATATAATATAAAATTAATTATTTATATTAAATCTATAACTATTATGTGAACTAACTTTATGTTAAATGTGAATTTAATTTAAAGAGTGAATATATTTAAATTTAAAGTTATAGAATATATCATTTTAATATGAATTTATTTGTTTTCATTAATAAATTTACATTATTTCATAACTATTATATCATTATTATGTCATTTAGGTATTATTTAAATAATTTTAATTTTTATTACGTCATTCGGTTCACGTCGGTCGAACCATTGAATCTCGAACTTTTTTTTCTTTTGGTTTGTATCCGTCCTAGTTTTCACAACCTTGATTGAACATTTTGGTGAGATGACATGCTTTAGCCTTCTTTCAAGCGTTTAAAGTACATTCCTAATTTTTATTTAATTAGAGGCTTAACCTTCTTTCTTTGCAATTCTTCTGTCAAAAAAGCAATATTTGACACATATTTGATTTTCAAAATCTAATTATGCTGATATGCTTTTACTTAAATATGAAAGAAAAATTTTCTTTTTGTCATGCTGAAGGCCCTGTGATTAGTTGTATAATTTTTTTTAGTAGATGCTACTTGAAGTAATACAAGAACACGTTAGCTTGTTACAGACTAGCTAAATCAGAGTCCATTCCAATACTTATATGCATGCTTTGTTTTGGAGAGCCTAGCATTTGACAGAAGTTTCATCTGGATTCATGTTCTTCCTTTGGCATCCATATGTTGGTTTGGCTAGTTCGTATGCAACAGGCAAATTTTCAGAGCTAGAAGCATTTATCCAGACTAATGTGGAGAAGTTCCAAACTGTGAGTGTCTGTTGGTTTTCTTATCATTTCTTTCTTAGAACCCTTACAAAATTATCATTCATTTCTCAATTTTTATAATAATATGGTTACATTAAAAATATTTTGAGATTATTTTTATTTTATATTGATTGGGGAGATGCTTATAAAATATATTCAAATATTTGTAGAAGTGGTAGAGGAATTAAACACATTTGCAGGACATCTTATGTGAAATTGTAGAATAATTGAGGAATTGTTTAGAAATTAAGAGGGTTTGGGATTGTCGAATAAAGATTGAGGGCATGATATATAAGTTAAATGGCAATATTATCAGACAATGTTCCTAAAAATCCTTTGATACATATTTTTGATAAAGTTAAGTTTTTTTGGGTCTATTTGTAAAAGAATATGGATATAGATGGGGATAACTTTTAAAACTAAATTGGGTGGTTAAAATAAAATGAACAAGTAACTATGCATTAAGTGCATATCATGGAAAATTTAAGGTAATTTTAATACATTGCGCTTAGGGTGCCTATGCTAGGTGGCTAATATTGGCTAATTGGGCAAAAAACAAGTCTAATGACAAATTAAATGTGGCATAAATGAGAATATTAAGAAGGGTTTGCATGTATGTGATAAACTAAAAATTGATTGATGCAGTACAAGTCTACATCAATCATTAATCATGAATCTATAGTTTTATTATAATTTATTGTGTGGTCATCCTTAGTTGCCATTTTCTTAATTATTAATATTTTAAGTGCCATTTGTTATTTAAGACTATTATGGTATTTTCATATTTTTTTAGAGATAATCTGCCATTTTCAAAAAGGCCATTATATATATATATATATATATATATATATATATATATATATATATATATATATACCTAACATGTTGTCAATTTGATATCAAGGCAAAGTTCATGAATTTAACATTAATTTAAAGTTAAAAATTGCTATAGATGAAGAAATCTCCATGGCCATTCATGACCGCTAGCCTTGCTCATCCATCATCTTACACTTTCTCCTATCATATAATACCTTTCTTATACACACTCTTGTCTCTCCATTTCATCTTTCTTACTCCTATCTCTTCCAGTTGTTTATTTCTTTGTTATTTATCTCTAGTATTTTCCTTATTTCTCTCCCTAATAAAAATCCTTCGCACTCTACCCCTCTCATGTTGATCTGTAGTTTTTTTTTTCCATTTGTTTCATTCACCAACTCTCACTTTGTATCTCTTCAAAAGCCACAATACTTCATCCATCTCATCCTTTGCTTGCCTGCAACTAGCAAAGCCACACATATCGGACATCAATTCTCACTATTTGCACATATGTGCACATTACACGTCATTTTTTGCACTTGCTCACATTATATCTGAGGAGGTTTAGAATTATGCAATTGGATATTAGTCATTTTTTATTCATGAGGTGGGTTGTAAGCCTCAAATTAAATTATTAAATATAAAAAAAATGAAAACATAAGAAACATTTTAGCATCAAATTATGATCACTGTTAAGTCAAAATACGTTCATAACAATAAATTTCTTCTAATTCAATATAAATAAATAATCTCAGTTATTAATTTTATAATTTATTAATTCAAAGTCTCACTTAAACTCATCACTTAATGGGTCTTCATTAGAATCATCATTATAATGGAATGCTTTCTCTTTTCCCTTATTCTTAGTTGTGTCAACATCCTTGCAATCCTTCTTATGTTCGATTTCATTCATCTTTCTTTTCCCTAATTAATAAAAAATATTAATTAAATTATAAGATAAAAATTGCTTCGATATTATAATTGCTATTAGATAAAATTTTATGTTGATCCTTTTTATTAATTTTCTTTTTACTGTGTTATTCTTATTCCTTCCATCAAGTAAGTCAACATTGAGATCTTCTTCTTGTAATTTTAATTATTTAATTTTATTTTCATCATCCATAAATCATTCATCATCTGTTGGCGCATAATTATGAACTAATGGGTCTTCATAATCTTCCAAAACTATATTTTTTCATATGCTCATCTTTTATTATCTTGTTGTACATATTTTAAACCAGTTAGTTCTTTCTTAAGATAGTAAGATGATTTCTCCTCTTTGAACTTGGTATTCATCAATTTCATTCACACCCTATTGAAGAGCATGTAAAACCCAGTACTTTTATTACAAATCTTTATAGTTTAGGAGTGCTATGTCTAAAGTGAAGCCATCACTCAAATAATATTTCAAAAAACACAATTAGAATAGTATATACATTTTGTGAAATTCAATCAATAGATGTAGAAATTTACCTGGGGAACATTTTGATACTGTGTCTTTGACTTGTTATAATCCAAAGAAATCTTCTTTTTAGAAGCAACCAGCTAAAGATCAATCTTCGGTCTCTTAGTTGAGTTAGTGATTTGTCTATTCATATAGTGGTACAAACCAAATTTGAGATTGGTTGACTTGTTATTAGCATATTAATATTGAGAATTCAATTAGTAATCAGTGGCGTGCAATTATTGATGCAGATGAAGCTATTATTTCTCATCTATGATTTCCTAAATTTTCTTATAGTTGCATTCATCTCTTCCAAAGCTCTATGCTATCAGTTCTTTTGCCTTATCTATTGCATAATAAATAAGGCCCATAGCTTGTTTTTTAACGACATCAAACATTTTTAAAATATGAACCAAAGGCTTAGTAGTTGTGATAACATGCCACCCTTGACCAAAATTTCTCACTCAAAATAATCTCATTAACTTCTTTATCTTCAGGTTTCTTAGCCTAAACATAATTTAACTATGTGGAGGTGAACATAGCCTTCAAAGATTGCTTGGTTCTAGTATGTTTTGTAAAGTAAGTGTGTCATAGTAAATCTAGAAGAATGAAATCTAAATTTTTTTATGAATAGTGCCCAGAGTCTTATAAATTATAATTTAATTTTTGAAGATGGAATCAAGTCTTTTCTTTTGGCATTCCTGTAGGATTGATTGTCCCTTCTAAAATTTCTTCATACATTCTTCCTCTATCTTATATCACTCTTCCTTGAGGCATTTGTTTGGCTAATCTCTGAAATTCCCTCTTTATGTACCTGGTTCTTCCCCTATACTTGATTCTTCTCTCCATAGCAAATCATACATAAAAAATAATAAAAGGAAATCCTCCATTATTTTCATTCCTATTGCTTATTGTTGGCAATGATTCTATAAAGGAGATGATGGAAGTATACTAATATAAGATAATATGGTGGAAAATAAACTTGTGATTTGGGCATTTACTAGTTATAGCAGGAGATAAATCTATAAGATAAATTTATAAAATAAGTAAGGATAGACAATGAAGAATGAGTGCAGAGCTTTAGTTAAATCTGGTTAAAAGATGTGTGGATAGGCTCGCACGAAATAGAGTCAACACAATGTGGCAGATAATAAAATGTGGGAGAAAGATTTATAAAGCTGACCCCTTGGGATGGGTCAATGATTATGATGTCATATTTTTGGTGATTACATTTTTTGTTCTTTACCATATTTTTACTATTGGCTGTGTTTTCTAGCTGTCTCAATCTACCTTTATTATTTAATTCATTTATACGCATTATTTAATTCATTTATACTTCAAGTTGGATGGTTGAAGTGGAGGAATGCATCGGGCTTGTTATGTGATAGAAATGTACCCCTCAAACTTAAGGGAAAATTCTATAAGATGGTAGTGAGGCCTGCAATGCTTTATGGTGTCGAATGTTGGCCATTAAAAGAGAAGCATAATACTAAGTTAAGTGTGGCAGAGATGAGGATGCTCAGGTGGATGAGTGACTTTACCCTTAGAGATAGGATACGAAATGAGCATATACGCGAAAAGGTTGGAGTTGCTCCAGTAGAAGATAAGATTAGAGAGAGTCGCCTTAGATGGTTTGGTCACATAAAACGGCGGCCTTCCGATGACCCGATTAGGAGAGTAGAGGTATTAGATTTGACTTATGTTAAGAAAGGTAGGGGTAGACCTAAAAAGACTTGGTTAGAAATAATTAGGAATGACCTTTCTTTATTAGATTTAAACAAGAATTTGACTTTTAATATGACACAATGGAGAAAAAAGATTCATGTAGCCGACCCCACGTAGTGGGATAAAGGCTTGTTGTTGTTGTTGTATACGCATTATGTTTGGAATAGCCCTTCTTTTTAACTTCGTTATGTTTGTATTGTTACATGAAAATATAGTAGTTTTATGAAGTAGACTATTAAGGAATAGGATCCTCATTTTATTTTGATGACATTTTATTCACGCATATACTCTTTCAGGACAATAATCTTGGATTAGTTAAACAAGTTCTTTCATCTTTGTACAAGCGCAATATCCAGAGGTTGACTCAAACTTACCTAACTTTGTCACTTCAAGATATAGCCAATGCGGTTCACCTAAACACCTCAAAAGAAGCTGAAATGCAAGTGCTTCAAATGGTAATTTTCCTTGTATTATATTTGTGCAGTTTGTTATAAGTTTCTGGCCAGTTTCTGAAGCTATGATTCGTTTCCTTAAATCTAGATTCAAGATGGGGATATATTTGCAACAATTAATCAGAAGGACGGTATGGTCAGTTTTCATGAGGATCCAGAGCAATACAAAACTTGTGAGATGATTGACCAAATTGATTCATCAATTCAAAGGTAAGGAAACAGCTTCTTAATGATCAAGGTGTTAGTGGGACATCAGAAAAAGTCACATTTCTGGAAATTACTTGTTACATATGTAAATTATACTATGAATAAAGAACTATTACTAGTCGAAGGTCTGTCTCATATTTGCCAAGTGCAAAATAGTATTTGTTATAGCTTAGTGCAATAAGATGCACCCCACTACTGCAACTATTGACAGGCATAAAAGATCATAATAGCATATGCTATTTGCCCTATAAGTTATTGATGCAGACACTTGGAAAAACCAAAACGGACAACACAATGGCAAGAAGAATTTTCTCAATTCATATTAAAGTAGGCAAACACCAAAAACCAAATCGAAACAAACAATAGTTAGATAATAAGCAAATAAAAAAAAAACTATCCTCAGAACAACCAGCTAGTGGTCATCTCTCATGCATCGAAAAAAGTAGGTAAAATAAGAAGTGCTCAAAGACATGCAAACCAATGGTCTACCACAACTACTGTGGGCCAACGTCCAACACAAAAACTCCTCCGGCAAATGCTACCAAACCGGCCAACCAACACATTCAAAAGCTTGAGAAGATAGATACAAGTGGAGTGGAAACTTGTGGAGAGAAGTAGGTAAAATAAGAAGTGCTCAAAGACATGCAAACCAATGGTCTACCACAACTACTGTGGGCCAACGTCCAACACAAAAACTCCTCCGGCAAATGCTACCAAACCGGCCAACCAACACATTCAAAAGCTTGAGAAGATAGATACAAGTGGAGTGGAAACTTGTGGAGAGAAGTAGGTAAGAAGCCCAAGACGAAATCAAAGAGAGGAGAAGATAGTGAAAATAGCTCGCAAGATTTCCAAGAAGAAACCCTCAGGGTTTTAGAAATCTTCACTCACCAAAAACTGCTCTCAAATGTCACAAATCAACCACTATATATAGGAGAGGAGAGGGAGCCAAACAGCCCAAACAGCCGCCCAAACTATCCAATCAGTGAAGGGGAGGCAGAAGGTCAATAGGCAGCCGAATGGAGCAGCACCCGAAAGGCCATTAGGACACAACCAACGAACAGCCAGTGCCAGGGGGAAGGAACCGGGCAAGCAGAGGAACCAAAAGGCCAAAACAGAGGGGGGGAATGAACTCGTCCAGCAGTCATAATGAGCTGAAAAAGGCAACAAAACACAACTCACAATAATGAGCTGAAAAAGGTAGTAGAACACAGCAGCTCACTAACTAGGCAGCAAAACCTGAAACAACCAAGCCCAACCCAAAGAGTTTGGGTCAAACCAAATCAGCCCACAAGCCATGACACCAAAGAAACTAGCACACCAAAGGCAAGACATGTCAAAGAGCACAACCTACACATGATCATTGGTTGCCTTCCATCATAGGGTAGAAAATAAAACAAAATAAACATAAAATTCAAATTACAATATAGTTCAGTCAAAATTAAAAAAATTGAAATTTGCATGCTTCTGTTATATAGATTAGCACATGGCACTAATAGTTTACAACAACAACAACAACATCAAGCATTTGTCCCACTACGTGGGGTCGGCTAAATGAATCATTTTTCTCCATTGTGTCATGTTAAAAGTCAAATTCTTGTTTAAATCTAATAAAGAAAGATCATTTCTATTATTTTCTAACCAAGTGTTTTTAGGTCTACCTTTACCTTTCTTAATATAAGTGAAATCTAATACCTCTACTTTCCTAATCGGGTCATCGGAAGGACGCCGTTTTATGTGAGAAAGCCGCCGTTTTATGTGAATGGCACTAGTAGTGTGCTGAAAAATATTATGTAGGAGATGACAATGATGATGAATATGAGGATATTTCGACCCATATAGTGATCATGTTTCAAAGCATGATTAGTTAGTTTTGATTTTGAATTTGAATATGGGTTTTATGAAGAAACAAAAGTGTAATCATATTTCAAAATTCAAATAGTTGGGATAAGGTTAATGATGATGATATAAACCTAAATTTTAATATTCTTCATTTTTTATTATTATGTATTGTTATAATGATGATAGTTTTTTCTTCAAGTTAAACCTTATCTTTGCTAAAATACTTTATTTTAATCTATTATCTTTCATTAATCTTTATATATCTTCAAGTTAAACAATCTTGTCTACTACTTATGTGACATATTATTTTCAAATAAAGTTTTTTCTTGTATTATTAAATTATTAATAAATATTCATTATTTTTTAGATTTGTATTATTTTTAAAATAGCATGTGTCATGAGCTATGGCTCCTAGGTACACTTGCATCATATTGCACAACTCAATTATCTTTGAGTATTTTCATAATAGAATCTGTAAGGCCAATCTTCTAGTTTGTCAAAAAAAAAATTACCATTATTTATTATCATGAAAAAATGCATTTTGTCTATTACTAAAGCATTTATAACAGCATATGAAAGTCTATGATTTTGTACAAATGTGCAGTTTCCAAAAGCATTGAAATTAATGGCTAGAGCTACCAGTTGCTCATAACACTTTTATGAGCTTTGGTATCACAGCTGTATGAAACTCTTCGGATTTCCTTTGGTTCTTTAAAAAAAAAAAATCCATTTCCATGCATGAAATGAATAAAACATTTCCTTGAACTGGGAATACTAACAATATATTTCACATTTCTTTATTTAGTATATATAGGAGATTTGAATATTCATTTATGATTTATTTGTGATAGTTTTCTTGCTGCTTTGATTTTTAGACAATAATATTTTTATTTGACTTTTTTTTTTTCAAAAATTTGTAGTAGGTGTGGGCTCCGAAAATTCGGCCCCGGCCTCCCCACCGCGCTTTTCTTTTTATTCGGCGAGGAGGAGTTTTAACAAAATAAGTTTCGGGGTAAATTTTGGAAGACAGATGGATTTGTAGATAAGACTCTACCCAGAGATTTCATCCTCATTTTGCGAGGGCTTTATGATATGAGTTCTGGTTTCCTATAGGCGCAAGCCCCTATAGTTAATTACCCCTCCCGATAACGAGAGAGAACTTTCGATTAAGGCTAGTCGTCAATCAGATACATAGATGATACGTGTTATCTGACATATAGTAGCAGCTATTGTTTGGATTTGGAAATTGAGGACTTGGGTTTGGATTTGGGTATTTGGAAAGGTTTGAAAAGTTTGATATTTAAAATAGAATTTCACCATCGTGCACTTAAAGAGGATGGTGGGGGAATGGATGATAGACCCGATCAAGATCCCATGGTTCCGTCATCCCGGGCCATCGTGGTCCCTGATCTACTTAGGCAGAGGAGGTAGTCGACCCAATCTGACAGAAGGATCCTTGTCGGCAGCCATGGGTTGCTTCGTCCAAGGGGACCTTGTAGACCTGGGATGGGTGTTTGTCTAAGGGGACAAATTTGAATTCACCTTAGCTAACAGATGACTTTGTATCCTATCGATCATATTATATTGATTCATATCTTAAGGATTTGATGCCACTAAGGAGCGTATTGGTTCTGGCCATAACTGGTATCTGTGGTGCCATTTGGCGACAAAACCACTCGGTTCAGAGGGCCCCGGGTCATAATCGTTTATCCTGCGATGCCATTTGGCGGCAAACCGCCGGTTAGATGACACATACCACGTCCTTAATGGCAAGAGACTATTTTGAGAATGGATCCTAGTGATATTCTCGATCAGACATTTGGCTCTTTGTGAGCTGAAGCAAATTTTAATTCATCTACCTCGGCAAACTGTTGCTTTCGCATATACGAGGTATCTTAGCGGGATTTCGAGGATTCGACAGAGCTAAGATATGAGTTTATTTTTTTGGTTCTTTGGATATTATATAAAGGTCAACAGAATAGAATAGAATTAATCTCAATTAAAAAATTACCAAAATATTTCAACCCTAATTAAAAAAAAAAAAAACTTATCTACAATACTAAGTTAAAAAAAAATGTTGACAAAAGAATTGAAAAGTCACAATCAGTTTCATTAAAGTCAAATTAATTGATGATGTTAAAGCAAAATAAATTTCACAGAGTAGCATGTAGGGGTGTAAGTGAGCCGAGCCGGCTCGAGCTCGACACGTTTATGAGCTCGCGCACCGAGCTTATCAAGCTCACGAGTCGAGCTCGAGTTTGAGCTTGAACCGGCTCGGCTCGTGAGCTCGCGACAGACTCGAATAAATATTAATATTTTTAAATAATTTTTATTTTATTTATTAAATTTAAATATTTAGAAAATAATAAAAATCACATAAGTTTTATTTAAATGTAAAATTATATATATATATATATATATGTTGTGTCCTGGAATATTCGCGGCGGTAGAGAAATATATGGTTTAACGTCTTAGTATTGTATGAAGATCCAACACACAAATAGATAAGAGAGGGGGTGAAACATTCATAAGAGACACCAGAGTTTTTATGTGGAAAACTCCTGAAAAGGGGGAAAAACCACGGGGCCTGGCCCAGTTTTAATGAATCCACTAGTATTTGTAGTCGTTACAAATGAGGCTCTTCCTTGGGAGATGGCCTTGTATTGATGTAGCAAATGTACATCATACAGATTGCATTACATAGTAGGAATTACATATACATGCTTGTCTGGTCGGAAGGACCGTAGTCGACAGGAGACCGGGGTCAGAAAGACCGTTGTTTGTTGATGGAGGTCGGAAGGACCATAGTAGTCGACGAAGGCCTAAAGGACCGTAGTTGGTAGGAGACTGGGGTCTGAAAGACTGTTGTTTAGTGATGGAGGTCGGATGGACCGTAGTAGGCGACGAAGGCCTGAAGGACCGTAGTTGGTAGGAGACTGGGGTCTGAAGGACCGTTGTCTGGTGATGGAGGTCGGATCGACCGTAGTAGGCGACGAAGGCCTGAAGGACCGTTGTAGTAGGGCGGTACTTTGGTAGAACTCTGGACGTCAGGTAGTGGCCCAACAGAAGTCCAGGCCTCAGGTGGTGTTCCGACAAAGCAACGGCGTCAGGTGGTAGTCTGGCGGAGTAGAGGGCCTTTGGCGAAGATGAGGGCCTCTGGCGAAGGTGAGGGCCTCAGGTGAAGGTGAAGGCCTCAGGTGTTGGTGAGGGCCTT